TCTCCACAGCACATCTCTCGACGCGCTTTGCGCGGTACTGGTATCGGTGGTGTCGGTGAAGATTCTCTCATTCATCCACCAGCAGGATATCGCATCGCTGGTATCCGGGCTGTTCTCCCGTCTGCGGGGTGGAGGCGGTAATGTTAAGTAACCTTCCCGGATTACTGAATGTGGTGTTAAGCACGGTTATCGTGCTGACGCTCTTTTTTTATCGTCGTGGTGAGTCGAGACATAAACCGCTGATGTCGTGGCTGGCCTGGCTGCTGATGCTGCTTTATGCCTTTGCGCCGCTTTGTTATCTGTGTGGTCGCTTTCCACCCGGTAACTGGCTGGTCGTCCTGATTAACCTGGTGTTCTGCGTGCTGGTGATACGAGCACGCGGGAACGTATCAAAAATCCTTGTATTACGAAGGCGCTGATATGAAGTCGAAAGATGAAATTTTTGACGAAATTCTGGGAAAAGAGGGCGGTTACGTCAATCACCCGGATGATAAAGGTGGTCCGACTAAATGGGGCATCACTGAAAAAGTTGCCCGTGCACACGGTTATCAGGGCGGATATTCGTGACCTGACGCGTGGGCAGGCGCCTCGAAATACTCGAGGCGGACTACTGGTACGGACCACGATTCGACCAGGTTGAGGACCTGTCTCCTGATATTGCCGCAGAGTTGTGCGATACGGGCGTGAACATGGGGCCAACTGTGGCGTCCAGAATGCTTCAACGCTGGCTGAACGTTTTCAACCTGCGCGGGAAACTCTATCCGGATATGGATGCAGATGGACGCATCGGGCCGCGTACTCTTAATGCATTACGGGCATATCTGAAAAATCGCAGCAGGGATGGTGAACTGGTACTGGTGAAAGCCCTGAACTGTACGCAGGGCGAGCGTTATCTGGAGCTGGCAGAGAAACGCGAGGCCAATGAGTCGTTTGTCTATGGCTGGATGAAAGAGCGCGTGGCTGTGTGATAGCATTTAAAAATGATCATTATCAATGAGTTAAGTGTATTTTGCGTTTAACTTCTCCTGGGCGTACGCAACCAAAAGGAGAAATACGTATGAAGTACTATGTTCACACTCTTACAGATAATCAGAACGATCATGAGGTTCATACAGAAACATGTTTTCGACTTCCTGATGCAAACAATCGTAAAGAGCTTGGAGAGTTTAGCTCATGTGAGCCGGCAGTGAAGGCCGCAAAAAATCTGGGTTACACGAGGGTGAATGGATGTTACTGGTGCTGCAGAGATTGCCATACATCCTGACATAAGGTGTGAATAATTCTGACAAAGGTCGCTTCGGCGGCCTTTTTTATTGCTCAAAAAACGAAAGAACGGAGGTACGTATGTACGCACTGAAAAAAATCACGGTAACTAAAGATGGTCGTCAGGTTGAAGAAGTGCATGTTCTGGGGAATATGTATCGTCTGGAGTTCTATCCGCGTGACACTCATCTTGCAGCAAAAATTGAGTATTGCCTGGGCGGGGATATTCCATGTATTCCGGTAGAAAAAGAGGATGAGGCTTACATTACCACGCTGACCGGAGACACGGCGCGTTGTATCTGTCGTGGCGACAGTGAAGCCCGGAATGAAATAGCAAGATGTCGCGCCCATACAGATAAATAAAAAGCAAAAACCCCGGCTGCGGGAACAGTTCGGGGTTTTCTGTTTCTGACCTTGAGTAAGCAAGGGAGAACATGGAGAAGTATAAACGAATTCTGTTGAGGTTGACTATGAAAAACGGCCTTGAATTGAAAGCGCCTGTAACTGATGACATCAGCAGAGCGGTGGCTTTTGCCATTAAGTGGGTGGCGGTCGGCATCGCCGTGTCTCCGATGCTGTATGGGATGGCAAAGTTGATTGTTGCTCTGAAATCGTGAGTGGTGATATGACGCGAAAACACTGGACACACAGAATGCCGCGAACGGCGGCGAAATGGGCACTGGTAGCGATACTGGTGCCTTTTTTCCTGTCGGGATGCGTCAGCCTGGATAGGGCGCGTCAGCTTTTGGATGCTGCCTCTCAGGTCTGTGAAATTGTCGACGGTGTTCGGCAGTGTATGCAGAACTGATCGCCTGTAAGAGCAGAATATTTTGCTGAAAAATGAAGGATGCGCCGGCGTCCGGAAAGCATGAAATTCTGCTGCGTGTACCAATTTTATCTTGTTCATTCTAAATCTTGCCGAATCAAGCAACTGCCCGGGCGGCAAGGGGCATTTTTATCCGGAGGGGATATGAAGAGATTACTGGTAACCGTAAAGCCCTTTAACGGAACGATTCCATTCAGGGTTTTGCAGCGTGGACGTGTTCTGGTTAAGGATATCTTCAGTGGTAAATGCACGGAATGTTATTCCCGGACATATGAAGTGGATGCCACGGATGAAGAAATTTCTGTTGAATGTGATCTTAACGCGAATATGGCGGAGATTGTAACAGCCACGTTGTTGCCTGTTTAATGAATGACAGGTGTTCTCATTTGTGCGGGTCCTTCCGGTGGGGAGGCCTGCCACGGGGCGGCAGCGGCGCGGATTTTCGCTATTTATGAAAATTTTTCGGGAAAAAGCGTGTCGGTACTTCTCGTGTATAACTCATTGTTTTTTCATCAATCACATCCGTAAAAGGTCCGACATGAAAGTGCCCGAAAAAGACGTTTTTGAGCACTTCCATGTCGGACCCTGCATTTGATATGGAAATGTTTTATGAATGTTAATAAAAAGAAGCTCGCGGAAATTTTCAACGTGGATCCACGAACGATTGAACGCTGGCAGTCTCAGGGGCTCTCTTGTGTCTCTGGTGGTAGTAAGGGGGTTGAATCTGTATTTGATACCGCCATGGCAATTCAGTGGTATGCGCAGCGCGAAGCCGATATTGAAAACGAAAAACTCCGCAAAGAGACCGAGGATTTGCGTGCGGCTGCGGAATCAGATTTACAACCCGGCACCATTGACTATGAGCGCTACCGACTCACAAAAGCACAGGCTGATGCACAGGAACT